CGTCGTCGTCGACGTCACGGCCGTCGCAGCAGCTGTTGGTAAAAAACAAGTGACGAAAAATCCATCAGGAAAAACGGTTTCTTTTCTCTCATCGTCGTCGACAACAGCGACGGCGGCGACGACGACGGCGGCGGCGGCGGCGGCGGTGGTGAAGAATGCGGCAGAGCACCGCTTGGTTGATTCATTTATTTATTTTCTTATCCTTCCTTTCTTTCGACTGGTTTTTGAGAAAAGAGACGAAAGGAAGGATTAACTGCTGGTGTATACGTACTTTTTCCCCCTTCCTTGCTTTTACTGTACAGGGTGGACCAACAAAAAATCATGGACCGATTTTTATATGTTTATATCCTGATGAATTAAAGTAAGAAAAAAAAACAATGGACGCATTTTTCATGGTTATGAGTGGTTAAGGCGCGAAGACCCAAAAATAAATTTGAGAAAAGGCTTGAATAATTAGCTGTTCTGCAGCAAAAAATATGCGGTTAAGGGGCCATTTGGATTGAATTTTCCTACTTTTGTCAGATCAAGTATCAAAGCTCTTTCTATTGTATTCAAAATAATTCACAAGGAAACACAAAAATGCTTCACACCAAAAAAGAGAAGACAATCAACAAAACAGAATATGTGCACACAAATGAAATCACAATCAACATAATTTGAATTGAAAGGAAGAGTGATGATCCTCTCACTCTGAAAGTTAAAAATGCATTTGAAAAAAAGCTTGAATAATTAGCTATTCTGCAGCAAAAAATATGCAGTTAAGGGGCCATTTCAATTTTCCTACTTCCTAAAAACGTTGGAATTATTGAGACTGACATTTCAGACCTATGTGATACAAAAAAGACTCAAATACCACTCATACAATCTCAAATAAGACTCACACGACCTCAATATGTTTAGGACTAAAATTTGCAGAAAAATATATCCCTGATGATAAGAGGTTAGGTGTACCCTGTACTCTTGAGTTCCCAAAAATTATTATTATTTACCTTTTTCAGCAATGAACTATATTGTAATTTGAATTCAGATATAAATTGAACATGGATTCAGTTATCCACTTTAACCCTTGCGCAGCATAGTTGGGATATTTTTGAAAAAAAAAAATTGTCCAGTGAGCACTGGAAATTTAAAAAATCCTAGTTTGGGACCAGGGCTCAAAGTTGGAAAAAAGGTCCATTATTTTTCTAATCTTTCACAAAATTTCGAATGAAAAGTAAAAAAAAAATCTTTCACTGTGTGGCGTTTTGTTGTGCATTCCTGGCATAGGATTTGCATGGGACAATTCTGAAAACAATAGAAAATATGCCTCTGGGATTTTTCCTGACTTGGGCCTTCTCAACCTGGGAGCATTTCAATGACCTTGGATCAAACTGACATGTGCCACCCCCTGACAAAATCCCATCTCTGCTGCACAATGAAAAAGAACCCTTCACCATCCAAGGGCTAATCAATCTTGTTTTATGTTATCATATGGCATACATTATTTCACCTGTTTGAATTATTTTGAATGCACTCATGTCATCTAAAGATTCAATATTTACTGCAGTTATTCATCTATGATCCACACCATTATTTCCTGTGTGTTGAAAATGTTTTGCTAGTCTATCACGTATTTGTTGCTATTAATTTAAAAAATAATCAGTGCCTGTGACTTGAGTAAATATGGTATATAAAAGCACATTCAGAATAATCAATTGTTGACAAATGCGTCCATGTGAAATTATTTTTCTGGTCCACCCTGTATGTATACATGTCCCAGTGGAAGTCGCCCGCACCTGTTGAACTTTTGTTTCCTCTGTATGTGTTTTTTTCTCGGTCGTTTTGCGTTGTTTTATTTTTTTTTGCCATTTGGGAATTTTTTGGCCGCCGAGCCTATCATGTTGGGTCCATTGCCTATTTTTGCAGACATTTTTCCTTTTACTCTGCCACACTGCACTCCCATACGAATATTTTTTGCGTGTTTTTTTTCTGTGTGTCTCCTGTGTGTGTATATTCATTTATTTATTAATGTGTGTGTGTGTGTGTACCTTTATTTAACAACCACCATGTCCACGCTTTGCTGACTGCTTTTGATGTCTACAGAGAAGAAATTTATAGGTACTATATAGTAAAGACTGAAGAGTGTAGAAAAGGGACTGACGCGAGGACTTGAGTACCGGATTTATTCAAATACAGTGTGCGGGGGGCTGCACGTTTCCGCGCGGACCCGTTTTGGCTCACACTTGATCTGAACACCAAGGATTTGAAAAAATCTTTTTTTCCCATGTTCACTATATCCAAGAGACTGTAGGCAGATACACCTTCTGAATGTAATTGGCACACACTTCTCAGCCATTTTGATCCATGTGTTGAAACAGGGCTCGAAATGTTCAATATGTAAGTTTGAAGCTACCCCAGCAGAACAGCAGCAATAAATATAAGAAGCTGATCCGCGCGGAACCGTGTGACCCCCTCGTACATTATATAATTAAATGCCGTCGAATCTATATAAAACTCAGGTGGATCCTCTGTACAACGAAATTCAAGGGACCATAAAAAATTCGTCGTAAAGATAATTTTTTGGTTTGGGATGGAAAACTCCTGAAACACGTGAAGAGAATTCTATACTGTATATGAAACAAAACACTTCGTTATATACAGTGCAAATCGTTGTATGGAGAGTCTCAATAACCTGTGTTATCTTTTTCTTTCGCCTATAGAAAATGTAAATTAATTTTTTGACGATTTCAAGACACATTCTTTTGCTCTCAAGTTGAAAATTTCTTTTAATCGAGTACCATATTTATTAGAATATACACTATTTAATTAAATACCGTCAAATATACATTAAACGCAGGTGGACTCTGTATAACAAAATTTTAAAAATTCGTTGTAGAGAGAATTTTGTTGTATGGGAAACCCCTGTAACATGGGGATGAGAGATCTCATCTATATGGAACAAAAAAAAATGCTTTTTACAGTTTAAATCGTTGTATGGAGAATGTCAACCTGCGTTATTTTTTTTATTTCGCCTTGAAAATTTAAATTTAATTTTTCGGCGATTTCAAGACGCATTTTTCTGCTCTCAAGTTGAAATTTCTTCCGAATCGCGAGAAATCTTTGATTTCATACATGCTAATGCTGACGAGGATACTTTAATCCTTGGGCTAGTGCACTGAAAGTATATAGTCGCTAAAAGTTGTTCAATATGGAATATTAATGATTATTAAAGAGATAGAGGTGATCGTAGGCAATCGTACAATTCACCTTTGAAATGTGAGGCGCAATTCAAGAAATTGATAAAAAAAAATCACAAAGATTTTTTAAAGGCAAATTTTCTGTAAAGAATAAAAAAAAAGTGTGGAAGTTTCAACTTTGGGTGACCTCAAGTAATTTTGCTCAGGCTGTTGTTTCTGATTTGCTGTTGAAATTTGTATGTTTGATAAGTCATTGAATTGCATTCGAATTTTTTCTATGCTTTTTTAAAATTTGGATTGATCCATCTGGCAGCTTTAAAAAATGTTGTGGAATTTCCATGATGATGAATTAATTTGTTTTACCAAGGTTTAGCCTAGGATTGAAGCTACCTGTGAAGAACTCAGAGTTAAAGAAAATTCCAAATCGTCATCCTATAACTGTTTCTCATCAATTCATCATGGAAGTTTATTGATTTTGTTTTGACAGGAAGAGCCTGGAAAGTAAAACACATTTAAAGAATCCTCGTCGACAATTTGAATTTATCAACACGAGGATCTTTCCAGGAAGAAGGTTAAATTTTATTTCATGGAGTTCATTATAATTTCAAGCATGAAATCTGACCAGGACAAAGACCTTGCACACTTTTCTCTTCGTTGAAAAGCCAACACTGAAAAAAAAGAAATTTCAGTGTTAATGATCTAAAGCTTTCTTTCTTTCAAACAGCATTTTACTTATATATAAGGGAAAATCAGCACAGAAACAACAGCCTCTGGGGAAATCTTCGTTCAAGGTCACGCGACCTTGAAAATATTTTTGTTTTACATTTGAACAAATGCGGTATTACATATAGCCGAACTCCTCCTACAGTAAACAAGGGTTGTCCCAGTTCTGCACAGGATTAATATACTTCCAATGGGGGTTTTGTCAGGAACAATCCTGGATTTTTGTTTTCCACAGACATTTTTTACTAAGAAATGAGAAAAAAATACTGTACATCTTCAAGGCTCAATTTTTACTTCTGGCCTTGTGTTGTTCTTGTTCCCCAGTTCAAAGATTAAATTTAACTCTTCCGTGGCAAAGTCGGACTTTTTTTTTGCAGATTTTGGTTGCACTCAGGAGTGGAATAAAAAAAAACCCCCAACAGTGCGTGCAGGGCAAAGTTGGGAAAAATCCTGGCATTTTTAAAATTTTCCATAGAAAAATTTCACCTGAAAATGAAAAAATGAAAACTTCAAGGCACCCTTTTTCCCCTGGCCTTGTGTTGTTTCCCCATTCAAAGATTGAATTTAAGCTTGAAAGCCAGTAGTCCAGGTTAGAGGTTAATACAGAAAAAGCCGGACTCAGGACTTTCCCAGCATTTCTTTCTCCCCAGAAAAAATCCGACTTTGCCCTCCCCCACCTGCCAGGGGTTGCATAACCTTGTGCAAAAATATAATGCAGGCCCATCGGGAAAAAGTCCAACTTTGCCCTGGGATGGAAAGGAGGCTGCCGCTGTCCAAGGGTTAAGCTTGAAAGTCTTGAGCCAAACTAAGCATTTCTTTATACCTGGATAATATCAGACTTTGCCCTTCCCCATCACCTGTCAGAGGGATGCATAACTTTGGGTAAAAATGAAATTCAGGCCCAACCAAACAAAGTCTGCCTTTGCCCTCCAAGGGGGTTTTGTCAGGAACAATCCTGGTATATTTTTTTGTTTTCCACAGAAAATGTTTACTCAGAAATGAAAAAAAAATACTGTACATCTTCAAGGCTCACTCTGGCCTTATTTTTAAAATTTTCCACAGAAAAATTTTACCCTAAAATGAAAAAAATGAAAACTTCAAGGCTCCCTTTTTTCCCCAAGGGTTAAATCCTGCACAACAGAACTGGGACAGCTCTCATATATATATATATATATAGTCCAGCAACTCCCTTCCATAAATGCCATGAACCATGATGATGTTGATGATGATCCAACAAGTGCTTATATATTGATGATGAACTTCCTCAACCATCCTCATGCAAATACTGTACTGTACATCATGTTATGTATTGGTATGGGCACAGACAAGAAGCAGTGTCGCATGTGCGAACTGGCCATGAAAGAGCTGGAGAACATTGACGACGAGGCGGACCAACTGGGCATCGCCTTCGTCAAGATCAACGACCAGAACCTGGCGCAGGACTATTCCTTGGACACCCTGCCTGCCCTGGTCTACTACCGCCGCCAAGTGCCCATCATCTACGAAGGCGACCTGTTGGAAGAGGAAATGGTGCTGGAGTGGTTGGTGCGGCAAAAGAGCACCGGCGACGACAATGACGTCATTGAGGACGTGTCCGCCCGCACTTTGGCAACACTCATCCACTCTGTGCAGAACCTGGCGGTCCTGTTCTGTGAGTTATTGCTATCCGCTGCAGCATATGCATGCCAGGCTTTGTCCCCAACTGGGCGTGGCATACATGTATATATGATATTCCTAAAGGGGTAGATTTAGTTTCAAGACAAAAAATAAAAAAATAAATGCATGAGTGTGGCTCAATAAGTTCTGAGGCAGTTTCCCCCAGCTTTTTTGGGACCAGCATTGACCTGCAAACTTCAACAAAATTTTCTGCAGGCAAAGTTTCATAAAATTTTTGCAGACAAAAAAAAAAGATAGGAAGACTTCACAGCATGTATTTGAAAGGATCCTGCTTTGTTTTTGAAAATTAAGTTGAAAATTGATGAAGCAGCTATATACCGTATTTACTCAAGTACCCCGCTCCCTCAAGTAAGGCGCACACAGGGGTTTTTCAGTTCAAAATTTGGCTAAAATTGCATCCCTGAGTAAGATGCGCCCCCCATTTTTAGGGACTATTAAAGCACAAAATTTCAAAAATAAAAACAAAAATTTGACTTTTGATGTGAATTGAACATGAATCTGATCAATTTTCAAATTTTTCAGTAAAAAAAAGTTTTCTTGGTACATTTGTCACACATTTCTCCATTATAATTAAGTATAATTAACACACAACTTCCTAAAAGTTCTTGAAAATTTTTTACCCACTTATGACGCGCACCCCTTTTTTTCTTCTGAAATTTAAGGAAAAATAGGTGCGTGTGGTAGTGGTACTCAAGTGAATACAGTAATGCAATTTCTTAAAAATACAATATTAGATAGTTGGGCTTGATAAACGGTTTCTCAGAAGGAAAAATAAAAATAATCCATTTCTCCAGGTGAAAATTTGTCTCAAGTGTTATTAGGAGAAAAGCCGGCTTTTATTTTTCATTAGATAATTTCAACTGCCATTGTATGTCCAAAATTTCAGATGAAGAAAACAGATAACCTTAACAGACTTGAACAGTGTACCAGAAAATTTCTTTAAAATACTTTTCAGACCAGAAAATTTCCACAAAAAAATGTTCAGTGTACTGGCAAAGTTTTTTTTTTTTTGCAGACTAAATATTTCTTGTTTGAAATACTTCATGGCAGGCATTTAAAAAGTTTCTTGTCTTTTTTTGCAAAAATTTTGTTAAGAATCAATGAAGCAGCTATAGTGGAATGTCTTCAACATATTATAACAGTGGACTTTAAGAAAGGTTTCTTTGAATGGAAAGTTAAACTAATTTATTTCATCATGTTAAAATTTGTCTGCAGTGTTATTCAGAAAAAAAGTCAATTTATATTTTTCATCAGACAATTTCAACTGCCATTGTCTGTCACAAATTTCAGATAAAGATAACAGACTTCATTGCTACCTTTGAGAAATGTATTCTGCTGAAGAAAATTTCCTGCGGACTGGCAAAAAACAGCCATTAATGCAAATTGCAGAATGACTAAATCGAAATATCTATAGAGGTAATTACTAAAAAGAAATTGCAAAAAATTTCTTAGGATTAGATGGGATCTTCTGAGTTTGAATGCGTCTTTTGGGATAAAAAAAAAATGCGGAGCTCTCTGTGGAAAATAAACGACTTAGTTAATTTCCAGCAACAGTCGTACAGACTCGGGATGGATGGTCTCGTTCTCAGAAATACACAGATTTTGTCGCTTTTTTATTCTTTTATTCATTTATTTATTCATTATTTTTTGGACGACAGACGAAGCTGATGACGAGGCCTCTGCCGTCGCTCTGGCCGAGCTGGAGAACATCGACGACGACTGCGACGGCAAGGGCATCCAGTTTGTGAAAATCGGCGACGCGGAAACGGCACGCGAATACGGCATCGACGAGTTCCCGGCCCTGGTGTACTTTGAGAACGAGATCCCGAGTCTGTACGACGGCGACCTGAACCAGGAGGAGCAGGTGCTGGCCTGGCTCCTGGGCCAGCTGGTGTCGGACGAGATCGAGGACGTCAACGACGAGATGCTCGACCGGCTGATTGCCAAGACCAAGCACTTGGCCGTCCTCTTTTGTGAATATTTATATACATATATCTTCATCATCCATTCCTTTCTTCTTTTTTTGGTATTTTTCTTTAATTGTTTTTTTTTTTGGGACGGTGGAATTAACTCAGACGAAGGCTCAACAGAGAAGAAAAGAAAACTCTTTTTTTTTGGCATTGGCATTTGCTGAGCAGGGACTAAACTTTTCCCACTGCTGGGCTGCCATTTTGCGAAGAGAAGAGATTGAAGCAAATTGTATTGAAGGGGAGCTGTCAAAATAATTGAGTTTGAATGAGGGTCTCGTAATTGACGATGGGCCAGTCCAAAAATGCATAATCTTTTGTTTTCAGTTCTCAAAGGTATTTATTTTGACGTTGGGAAGAAGGGAACAGGTGATGAATGGATTCTTCATGTTTGCTTCCCCCCTTTTTTTTGCTCTATACAAAATAATTTGTTGTTTAAAATTATGTCATGTCTGTGAAATTTAAAGGGACCAGCTGAATAAGAAAATTGACATTAAAGGGTTTCAAGTTAAGGAAACAAGCATTTTTTTGTTCTGGAAAATATGGAAGAGTTTGCAGGTGGAAATTGTAAAGGTTTATACTCTGTGCTTTAAATTGCTTCCTATATAAATGTTTGTTGACAAACAGATGCTGAATTTGGGTGAAAAGGGTTTATTTGCTCAATTAGTCTATCTCTTCATTCCTAAACGCATCCTTATTTTTTATAGTTTTTTCCTTCTTTTCTGAGTCAATAAAATAATGCACTGCAGAAGGCATAAGAAAATTTGAGTCACCAAGGTTTGAGAGGAAATGCCTTCCAGTTAACCCTTCTGTGGGAAAGTTGGACTTTTTTTTGAAGATTTTGGGTGCAGTCAGGAATTGCATTTAAAGAACTATGACAGTGTGTGGAGGGCGCATAGTCAGGAAAAATCCTGGTATATTTTTTATTTTCCACAGAAAAATTTCACTTGGAAATGAAAAAAATTAAATCTTCAAGGCTCCCTTTTTCCCTGGCCTTGTGTTTTTCCCCATTCAAAGATTGAATTTAATTAAGCTTGAAAGCCAGGAGCCCAGCTAAGAGGTCAATGTGGAAAAAAGGCCAACTTGGGATTTTCTGAGCATTTCTTTATAGTGTTTATACCCAGATAATATCTGACTTTGCCCTTCCCCACCTGGCAGGGGTTGCATAACCTTGTGCAAAAATGTAATGCAGACCCAAGGGGAATAGGTCAGACTTTGCCCTGGGATGAAAAGAAGGCTGCCACTATCCAAGGGTTAAATAGATTTTTGTAATGCAATGTTTCTGAGGGAATTCAGACAACAACTTGAAAAAAATCAACTTATTGAGGAGGTTTGAGTTAATGAGGTTGAACTGCTGTAATAATAATAATTTTTATCATTCTTTACAATTATGGCTATTATTACAGTCAAACCTCATTAAGTCATATTTTGAGGGACCTGCAAAAAAATTTGACCTAGGCGGGAGGTTTCGAATTTTATAGGTTAGAACTACAATCCAAAGCCCTTTTTCCGGGAAACTTGCAAAAATGTAAATGGTGATATTCTGGGGCTTAAATGGCTTCTTCAATGAGTTGAAAGGCTGCTGAACTTGGAGGCAGGTGTTCATTTGCCCAATTAAGTATTTCACTTCCTTTAACCCTTGGGCAGCAAAGTTGGAATTTTCCCTCAAAATTTGGTGTCAGTAAGAGAAGCTTTAAAAAAATGATAACAGTGCATCCAGGGCAAAGTTGCAAAAAATCCTGGCATATTTTTTAAATACTGCAGACAAATTTTGCCCAAAAATGAAAAAGGCCATCTCTAAGGCTGAGCTTCTTTTTAATCTCATCCCTAGATTAGTTTCATTATTTTCAGCTTCTTGGCCCTTTCATTTTGGGTACCAGAAGAAGGGTTCCCATTTAGAGGCCACAAAAGATTAGCAAATAAAGTCTGACTTCAGGAAATCACAACAACACATTTTTGCTGGATGGAGTCCAACTTTGCCCTAGGCCACCTGGCTTGGCTGTCATGGCCTTCAACAAAATTAAAACCTGGGCCCACCCAAGAAAATCCGTGCTTTGTCCTGCAATGGGAAAGAACCTGTTGCTGCGGAAGGGTTAAAACACATAAATTTATGTTTGTCTTTCTTCTTTCAAGAAAATAATGGCCAACAGGCCGCAGAAAGTTTGTCTTATGGAGGTTTGAGGGGAAAAGCTTTTGACTTGTGGAGGTTTTTAATGTATTGCTTCTAAGGGGATTCAATTGGAAAAAAATCGACTTAGGGGGGTATTTGACTTAGGGAGGTTTGAGTTATCCAGGGTTCACCTGTATTCTAATTTTCCCCCTTCCTCTGCATGTGACAGATGCCCCCAGGGAAAAGGAATCGGCCCGGGTCCTCAAGGACCTGGAGACCATCGACGACGAGTGCGACCAACACGGCATCGCCTTTGTCAAGATCTCGGACGCAGCTGAGGCCAAGGAATACGGGTTCTCCAAGCTGCCGCAGATGGTGTACTTTGAGAACGGGATCCCGTCCCTGTACTCGGGTGACCTGGCCCAGGAGGACCAGGTGCTGGACTGGCTCGTGCGCCAGGTCGAGTCGGACGAGATCGAGGACGTGACTGACGAGATGCTGGACATGCTCATCCAGAGGTCCGACTTCCTGGCAGTGCTATTTTGTAAGCTCCGATAATGATGATTATATGGGAAACACAAACCCCCAGCACTCCAATGAAGCCAACCCAACCCAACCCACCCCTTAGTTTTCCCCATCACTTAAATAGAGGGATTAAAGGAATATTCTTTCACCCTGGGATATAGCCGAGGGTTCCTCACCATTAAACTGCCAAGTTGGGATTTTTTTTCATGTGTGAGGCGCATTTCAGTTTGACCCAAGGTCATTGAAATGCTCCCAGGTTGAGAAGGTTCAAGTGAGAGAAAAAAAATCAAGGAGGCAAACTTCTTGTTGTTTTGAGAAATCTATGCTGCTAATCCTATGCTAGGAATGCAGGTTAAAAATGCTACCCAATGAGGGATTTTGTAAAAATCTTTTATGCACAGTTTTCTGCGGGATCAGAAAAAAATATTGGACCTTTCCAAAACTGAGTCCTAGGCACAAAAGTAGGATTTTTTGATTTTCAGTGCTCATGGGCACAAAATTGTGCAAAATATCCTGACTGTGCTGAAGAAGGGTTAAATATAAACTAAAGTGACATATGACTGAGATGAAAAAAAAATCACAGTGGACCCTTGATTAATGAACCTAATGGGTTTCAGGAAAAAGTTTAATAGTCCAATTTGATTTTATCAAAAACTTCAACTGGGAAGAATTTAATCCATTTTGTGAACCCAGCAATTGAACATTGATTATAAAAATTCAAGACCATCAACTATGATAAGAATAAGTTTTTTCTGCATCTTATATGAGCCAAGAATGTTTTTATAATGTTATATGGAATTAACAGTGATGAAAACAAAGATAGAAAGCTTCACATCCTCAGTTTGTTAAGCTAGCAGTTTGTTAACCAATGGGTCCATCTACTGTACAGTATTGTTTAGAAAAAACATTCTTTGGCAAAAGGAAAAAATATAGTTTTTCCAAACAATAATGATTTTTCAGCTCAATCATTGTCTTGTCATGAGTACATTAATTAGATCTCAGACAAAGGATTTGCTATTCATCCATCAATCAGCTGATACATTAGCAGCATAAATCAGCAGATTCCTTCCTGACTCACAATAATTGGCCCTTGAATTTTTAAAAATTGTTTTGTTCTCCTTCATCAATGCAGAATGGAGTTTCAAGTGAGACTGAGTTATTATTTGAACGTAATTTTGGCATCGTATCATAGCCTCATCGTATCATCGTATTCTAGCCTTATTCTAAATAAAATGAAAGGTTCATCAGTATGGGAATGATAGCATAATACCTTCCTAAAGAAAATGTAAAGAATCGAAATGAAAGGTCGAAATTTGAAACCTTTTTATCAAGGCTGATGGGAAGTAAGACACTCTTTCTTGAACGAATATAATGATCCAGAAACCAGAACTCATTCAGTCATTCTCCTTCTAAGTTTCATTCCACAAAAAGGAAACACTGGAAAAAAATCTCTGAAAATTCGAAATTCCAACAAACGTAGTGTAACACCGCAGTTTGAGTAGCTCAGAAAGAAAATATATTTGCATGGGTCACAGGAAAATCCGTAAAATTCACCCAGTGTATTTGAAACCTCTCCTGCATTTCGTCTTTTGTTTTGTATATGGAATGAATATGAGTGCATATGGATTTTGATGAATGATCAAGTGTTTCTCCCTTTCAAATATTTCTACACTTGTCATCAAGACGACGGGGATGAAAAGAAGAGCAAGAAGGTGGTGGATGAACTGGAGAACATTGACGACGAGTGCGACCAGCACAACATCACGTTTGTCAAAATTGACGACGATGCCGAAGCCAAGGAATATGGCATTGACCAGCTGCCGACCCTGGTGTACTTTGAAAAGTCCATTCCAACCATTTACGAAGGTACTTATTTTTATTGAATTGTTTCAAGCATGGATGAGAATCTTTGATCTTGAAAAAAAAGCTAAAAATTAAAAGAATATACAGGGTGGACCAAAAATAAAATGAACCGATTTTTTAAAACTTGAAATAGCTTGATAGAAAATTGAGCTGTGGTAATCAGAAAAGCACCAAATGAAAGCTTGTTCAATTGGGTGGGAGGGGGTTTGGATGTTGAAATCTTGATTGAACCTTGTGAACGCTGAAAAGGGGCAGATAAAGTGTTCTGTTCATTCATTCATTCATTCATTCAATCAATTCTCTTTCAAAATGTGTGTAATTTTATGGTGCCAAGTGCCACAGAATGGCCACAAGAACCATTTCAATGACAATTTCCCAAAACTAAAGTTGTCAGGCAACTTTTCCCACTAAGCTGCTGTTCTATAAAGAGCTGTTGGCATGAATAAAGGAAAAGCAGGATGCAATAAGTTAACCATAAACATCCTGCTGTACTGAAGAGCCTGCACATTTCCTCCAAAATTCAGAAGGAGGGAGTGAGAATAAGGGGGAAGGAAATTGGCAAGATAGGATGCTGGGAGCTCCTGTGGGTGGGCACTGGCCTCACAGCTGCTCCTGATGACCCACTGCATTCAAAGTTTTTTTCTGGATGACTGTATTTTTTAAACTGATTTTAAGTGAAAATGTTTTTAAATTGAACTGATTTTAATTGAAAGTGTTTTTAAATTGAAGTGATTTTCAGTGAAAATGTTTTTAAATTGAACTGATTTTAAGTGAAACTACTTTTGAGCAATCTAGTCATCCAGAAAAAAAAGTGCATGTACTGGGAGCTATGAGGCCAGGGCCCAGCAGCACACATGCACTATTTGCAGCATTCTATCTTGCCAATTCCCTTCCCCCTTTGCACCCCTCCTTTCTTCTGAATTATGGACAAATGTGCAAGCTCTTCAAGACAGCAGGAAGTTTCTGGTTAACTCATTGCATACTGCATCTCCTTTATTCATGCAAACAGCTCTCCAGAACAGCAGGTTAGTGGAAAAAGTTGCCTGACAACCTTTGTTCTGGGAAATTTTCATTCAAATTGTTCTTGTGGCCATTCTGTGGCACTTGGGACCATAAAATTACATACCATTTGAAAGAGAATTGAACAAGCTTACAATTTATGCTTTTTTGATTGCCACAGCAAAAAAACAAAAAACTCAAGGTCCACAAAAAAGTGCTAGTGCTTATGTGTTACTTGTCAGAGAAAATGTTTGTTATTGACATTTGAATTTCTTTTTGAAGATCACAGCTTTTCTTGCATGGAAAAGCATCTGAAAATGCTGCAAAAAGGCATTTTTGAATATATGCAGGTTTAATTTAAAGCAATCTTCTCAGCTGTCAATAATTTCGCAAATCTTGTTATTTATCTAAATCTCATTACAATTTTTAAGATTATTCATTACAATATTTAAGATTATTTATTTACACAAACTTTTCCCAAAGTCTCTCGTGAAGGAGTTTCTCGTGAGGAGACTTTTCTGCATAATGTAGAGATAATGAAGAATGTCTCTCTATTATTGTCGCCCGCAGGTGACTTGATGAACGAACAAGAGGTCCTCGAGTGGCTCATCTTCCAAAAGGAGTCGGACGAGATTGAGGAAGTGACGGACGAGATGCTGGACAAGCTGATCGAGTCCGAGCCCTACCTCGCCGTCCTTTTCTACGACAAGGACGACAAGACTGACGTCAAGATCCTCAACGAGCTCGAAACCATCGACGACGAGTGCGACCAGCACGGGATCGCCTTTGTCAAAATCGACAACGACGCGGAGGCCAAAGAGTACGGGCTGGAAATGGACAAGTTGCCGCAGCTGATTTACTTTGAACACGGGATCCCGTCTATTTACGAAGGTCATGCCCATAATGATTCAGTTTCTTGCGATTTTCTAGTGGTTTTTTTTTTTTTATTCTTTATTGTGGTTTGTTTTCACGTCTCTCCATAACGGGTCAAATTGCGTGGCAGAGGTTGAATTGAATTGAGAGTTGACCTCCCAGTAAATTTGACTTGACTGCTGAATTGCAGGAGGTTAAATTGCAATTGGTACCTCCTGTATTGGCATTTTTCATATTTATTTTTAAAGAATCTTCTCATTATTTTGCATGAGGAGGCCAGGCATTCAAATTTCACAATCCCAATATAAACTTCCTCATCTCATTTAAACTTATATACTGATATGAAAATAAGGCCAGAAAATTGAAAAAAAATTAAAGAGCCCTAAAGGCATATATTCCTATGGACCTTGTGGCCTTGAGAGTGATTGCACTCAAACTGGGCTTTCCATTTTTATTTTTGAATGTTAAAAAGGAGATATGTATGTAGGGTTCTTGAAAATATTTTTAAAACTTTTTTCTGGCCTTTTTCTCATCAGCATATAAGTTTAAATCAGATGAGGAAGTTCATATTGTGATTGTGAATTTTGAATGCCTGGTCTCTTCATGCAAAATTAAGAAAAAGATTATCTTATGCTAGCCATAGTTTAAATATAGAAAATGCCAAATACAAGTGGTATACATTGCAATTCAACCATCCTGCAATTCAACAGTCAAATTTACTTGGAGGTCAGCTCTCATTCAACCTCTGCCACACAATTTGACTCATGAAGAGACATAAAACATTAAATGCCATGTAGAAAACATTCCATTTGACATTTTCTTGCAATTTGACCCCTAGTCCAGCGATGGATTAGGGACAAATTGCAAGGTACCACCTGTATTGTACTCATCTTTATTTTTTTATGTGGAATTGCAATGTAAAAAATTGTAGGAAAATCTCAGAATTTAAAATAATTGATTGTATGAAGACTAAGACAACCCAAACTGATTCATGTGGCAAGGAATTCAGGGATCCAAATCACAATCATAACTCATCATAATTTTAAACTCCTTCCAAAAAGGAAATGCATCAGAAAAATTGAAAAAAAATCGGATTATTGCACAGATGTAATGCACGACTGTACAGTATTTACTCAAGCACAAAACACCCTCTTTTCCTCAGCAACTCAGCTTGAAAGTTTTGCATGCATCATACGCTTGAATAAAGTATACATTTTCCCGGCAAAAAATTTTATAAAAATAATTTCTGGTGCGTTTCATATTCGAAACTTATTCGGTGAAGTTTAAAGGAATAATGTCTATGCAGACTAGAATGAGTAGAATAGATCTTTCGTCTCTACAGTGAAACTGCTGCTTGTGAAAATGTGCACAATAAGAGCAGCGTTCGTCTGAATTTCAAATTTAGCGTTTATTCGTTAAAAAAAATGCATGGGTTTTTCTGTTGTGGAAAATCTGGTTGCAAGTCTTCAGAAAAAAAAACATTTTTATCAAAATTTTTTTTACTGCAAATAAGTGACATCCATGAGTAAAACCAATCAAGGCCACGCGAAACGGAAAAAATTAAAAAGGAAAAAGAACCTCCTTCTCTTCTCCCGAAAATGATCAACCGATAACCGATGAATCAATCAATCGAAACAGGTGATCTGGACTTGGAAGAAAAAGTGCTCGAGTGGCTCATTATGCAACGGCAAGAGGATCGAATTGAGGAAGTGACCGATATGATGTTGCAGCAGCTGATTGGCACTTCACACTACGTGGCGGTGTATTTCAGTGAGTGAATAAAACGAAAACTAGCGAAAATGTAAAAGCTAAAAAAAAGAAAAATCCAAGAGCAAGAGAAATAAAGTTTCAGTTGGTTGGACTTTCATTCAATAAAAATGAGCTTTTACAGGAATGCAAGCATCAATGAATGTAGGTTCAGAAGTGATTCCTGCATACACACTGAAAACTTTTTGATCAAAATAATTCATAACTCATAATGCCTAATTGTAAGAGGAATAACGGATAAACTGCACACCTTTTTTTGGTCACTGTGCATGTTTAAAACTACTGTAGTTTCAACAAGGTTTTATTGGCATTATTTGAAAGGTTTTTTTGTTTCCTAGGGTCTTCAACACATTTTCAACTGCCAAAATTTCCTAATTTTACCCACGCATTTATATTCATGCATACAAGTTTCAAATAAATTAGCATAGTGCATTAGAATCTTATTTATAATCAATGAACCAAGTATTTGAAGGGCGTAAAACGCAATAGAATCCTGATTACTTACAGTCAAACCTCTCTAAGTCAAATTTCAGTGGACCTGCAAAAAAATTTGACTTATAGGGAGGTCAGGAATTTTATAGGCTGGAACTGCAATACAAAGCCCTTTCTTCTGGAAAACTTGGAAAAAATGTAAATGGAGATATTCTAAAGCTTAAATGGCTTCTTAAATGAGTTGGAAGGCTGCTGAACTTGGAGGCAGGGGTTCATTTGCCCAATGAAGTCTTTCACTTCCTTTAAAGCACAAAAAATTATGTTTTTATTGCTTTTTTCTTTCTTTTTCAAGAAAATAATGGCCAACAGGCCACAGAAAATTCGACTTACAGAAGTTTGAGGAGAAAAGCCTAGGACTTAGGGAGGTTTTTTATGTATTGTTTCTAAGGGGATTGGGAAAACAATTTGACTTAGTGGGATATTTGACTTACAGAGGTTCAAGTTATCAAGGTTCACCTGTATATGGATACCTCAACATATGGAAATTCAACTTCATGACTCTTATTGAAACTCAAAAATCTTCCCCAAAATTCAAACACTAATACAGTATTGTATGTCTCAAAATGTCCCAAATGAGAAATATTAGGAATTAAGATTTATTAAAAAAATAATAATAATTTTGTGTTGAAGCTCCCACTTCAGGTTCTATACTTTTAGCTGGAATAATTGTATTATTAATTAAAGGGATTTGAAAGGGGTATATCTTATACTGTATATATACTGTATTTACTCAAGTACCACATGCACCTTTTGTCTCAAATTTCAGAAGAAAAAAAGGGGTGCATGTCATAAGCAGGTACAGAATTTTCAAGAAGTTTTAGGAAGTTATGTGTGGATTATACTTAATTAAAATAGAGAAATTTGGAAAAAATGTAACAAGAACACTTTCTGTGCTAAAAAAGTTGAAAAATTTATCAGATTTTTGTTCACTTCATGTCTAAAGTCAATTTTTGGTTTTTATTTTTGAAATTTTGTGGTTTTAGATTCACTAAAAATTGGGGTGCTTGTCTTACTCGGGGATAAGATTTTAGCCAAATTTACAACTGAAAAACCCCTGTGCACACCTTACTCAAGGGTGCGTGGCACTCGAGTAAATACGGAATTAATAAATTTCAGTACAGTACTTGAAAAATATATTTTAATTCAACATTGCATCTCTCACGAACCAACCCTGGTAATGTGATGTGATGTGCCTGTGTGTGTGTGTATATATACAGCTGGAGAGGAATGCCTGGCTGGCCAGGAATGCGACCGGATCCTGGGCGAGCTGGAGAACATCGACGACGAGACGGACGCCCACGGCCTGCACTTTGTGCGGACGGACGACGTCGCTGTTGCCCGTCGCTACGGCGTCAAAAAGTTCCCCGCCATCGTCTTGTTCCGCAACGGAGAACCGCTCCACTACACCGGCGAGCTGGACGACGAGGACGAGGTCTTGTCCTGGCTCACGGACGGCGACAACCTCGAGATCGCCGACAAAATCGAGAGTGTCAATGCCAAGATCCTGTCCCGCCTCCTGGACACCGAGGGCAACGTGGCCGTCTTTTTCTGTCAGTCATGCATCAAACAAATACCATTATTGAACCTCTTTAACCCTTGTGCGGCAAAGTCAGGATATTTTCGCAAAATTTTGTGCCACTGGGCACTGGGAATTTTAAAAAGCTATTTTTTTTTTACCAAGGGCAAAGTTGGGAAAAAGTCCGAGATTTTTTTATAATCCTGCAGAAAATTTTCAAAAAAAATTAAAAAAAAATCCCTGGCTGAGTGGCATTTTTTCCTGCATTCCTGGCATAGATTTGCATGGGAAAATCTTGGGAACAAAAGAAAATTTGCCTCCCAGATTTTTCCTGACTTAGTCCTCCTCAATTTGGGTGCATTTCAGTAATTTTGGGTCAAACTGAAATGCGCTGCCCCCTGGAAAAATCCCAACTCTGCCGCGCACTGAGAAAGAACCCTCTGCTGTCCAAGGGCTAAGTTGAATTTCAAGGGACCAGCCCAAAAAATAATTCAACTTAGGGAGAGGTTTCAATAACTTTTGGATGTTTTGTAGACTGTATAGAGGTTTGAGCTACAAAACAAAGCCCTTTTGTTCTGTGGAAACATAGCAGAATTGCCCAAAATTGTAAATGGTGATAATCTGGGGCTTAACCCTTCTGCGGCAACGGGTTCTTTCCCATTGCAGGACAAAGTACGGATTTTCTTGGGTGGGCCCAGGAGGTTTAAATTTTGTTGAAGGCCATGACAGCCAAGCCAGGTTGTGGCCTAGGGCAAAGTTGGACTCCATCCAGCAAAAATGTGTTGTTGTGATTTCCAAAAGTCAGACTTTTTCCACTAATCTTTTTTGGCCTCTAAATGGGAACCGTTCTTCTGGTCCCCAAAATGAAATAAAGGGCCAAGAAGCTGGAAGTAATAAACTTAATCCAGGGATGAGATAAAAAAAAGCTCAGTCTTGGAAATAGATTTTTCTTCATTTTTGGGCAAAATTTTTCTACAGTATTTAAAGAATAAGCCAGGATTTTTCCCAACTTTGCCCTGGATGCACTGTTTTGATTTTTTTTAAAGCTTCTCTTACTGACACCAAATTTTGCAGAAAAAGTCCAACTTTGCCACCCAAGGACTTAATTGTTTTTCAAATGACTGAGCACAATGCTAAACTTGGAGGCAGGGGTTCATTTGCCCAATTAAATATTTCACTTCCTTTAAAAACACCTCAATAATCCCTGCTTTTGTCACTGTTGTTGTTGTTCTTATGTCAGGAAAATAAAAGCCAACAAGCCACAAAAATGTGACTAACAGAGGTTTGAGAAAATAAACTTTGACTTGAAAAGGTTATTCATGTACTGTTTCCAAGGGGATTCAGACAGGGACCTGAAAAAAATTGGAACTTATAATAGGGAGAGGTATATGACCTACAGAGGTTCAAGTTATTGAGGTTCAACTGAACAAGTAAATGTGTATTACCGTATTTACTTGAGTACCACACTCACCTTTTTTCTTGTATTTCAGAAGAAATAAAAAAAAAAGAAATCCCTGGCTGGGTGGCATTTTTTCCTGCATTCCTGGCATAGATTTGCATGGGAAAATCTTGGGAACAAAAGAAAATTTGCCTCCCAGATTTTTCCTGACTTAGTCCTCCTCAACTTGGGTGCATTTCAGTAACCTTGGGTCAAACTGAAATGTGCTGCCCCCTGGAAGAATCCCAACTCTGCCGCGCAATGAGAAAGAACCCTCTGCTGTCCAAGGGCTAAGTTGAATTTCAAGGGACCAGCCCAAAAAATAATTCAAATTATGGAGTGGTTTCAATAACTTTGGGATGTTTTGTAGACTGTATAGAGGTTTGAGCCACAAAACAAAGCCCTTTTGTTCTGTGGAAACATAGCAGAATTGCCCAAAATTGTTACCTGTGATAATCTGGGGCTTAACCCTTCTGCGGCAACGGGTTCTTTCCCATTGCAGGACAAAGTATGGATTTTTCTTGGGTGGGCCCAGGTTTAAATTTTGTTGAAGGCCATGATAGCCAAGCCAGGTTGTGGCCTAGGGCAAAGTTGGACTCCATCCAGCAAAAATGTGTTGTTGTGATTTCCAAAAGTCAGACTTTTTCCACTATTCTTTTTTGGCCTCTAAATGGGTACCCTTCTTCTGGTGCCCAAAATGAAAGGGCCAAGAAGCTGAAAATAATGAAACTAATCTAGGGATGAGATGAAAAAAAAGCTCAGCCTTAGAGATGGCTTTTTTCATTTTTTGGCAAACATTTTCTGCAGTATTTAAAAAATATGCCAGGATTTTTCCAGACTTTGCCCTGGATGCACTGTTGTGATTTTTTTTACAGTTTCTCTTACTGACACCAAATTTTGTGGAAAAAGTCCAACTTTGCTGCCCAAGGGTTAAATTGTTTCTCAAATGACTTAAAACAATGCTGAACTTGGAGGCAGGTGTTCATTTGCCCAATTAAATATTTCACTTCCTTTAAAAACACCTCAATAATTCCTGCTTTTGTCACTTTTGTTGTTGTTCTTATGTCAAGAAAGTAAAAGCCAACAGGCCACAAAAAATGTGACTAACAGAGGTTTGAGAAAACAAGCTTTGACTTAAAAAGGTTATTCATATATTGTTTCCAAGGGGATTCAGACAGGGACCAGAAAAAAAATTGGACTTATAATAGGGAGGTATATGACTTAAAGAGGTTCAAGTTATTGAGGTTCAAGTTATTGAGGTTCAACTGAACAAATATATGTGTATTATTTACTCAAGCATGCACCTATTTTCTCATAAGTGAGACCAGAAAAAAAGGGAAGGGGGCATCATAGACAGGTACACATTTCCAAAAGTTTTAGAAATTTTGGTGTGGATTATATTTGATGCTACAGTATGGAAAAAGTTGGACCAATTTCAGTGAAAAAACTTGCTGCAATGGAATAAATTGAAAAAAATATTTGAATCCATGATCAAATAATGTCTAAATTCAAATGTTGGTGCAGTCATTTTCAAAAACTTTCAGTTTTTGAGTCGTTAAAAATAAGATGTGCGTGTTATCACCGCGTGGGATAGAATTTGTAAATATTTTTCAAGTATTGGAATGAAAACCCCTGGTGCGCACCTTGATGGAGGGCGCGAGGTACCCGCAAAAGGCAAATTTTAAAAGAGAAAAAAAAATAATAAAATGAATTCAAGAGAGAAAATGGGGTGCTCATCATTGTACTCAAACATATGTATGTACAGTACTCGTATATATGCAATGCATGTCAAATTTGCGCGTATGTACTGTATACACACAGACGCCCCCGGCGACAGGAAGGCCGAGAGGATCCTCGCCGAGCTCGAGCACATAGACGACGAATGCGACGCTGCCGGGATCGACTTCGTCAAGATCTCGGACAAGAAGCTGGCGGCCGAATACGACGTGGTGTCCCTGCCGGCGCTCATCTACTTCCGCCGCAAGTTCCCGCAAATCTACGAAGGCGACTTGCACAAGGAAGACGAGGTCTTGTCCTGGCTCCTCTCCACCAAGGACGCCACGCCGTCCAACGACGTCATCGACCTGGTGGACCGCAACATGCTGGAAATGCTGCTGCAGCACTACGAGAACGTGGCAGTCTTCTTCTTCGAGGTTGGTGCGACATCTGTCTTCGATAAGTGGATTTGAGGAAACTGAGAAGTACTGCGGAGAACCGCAAGATGACCTTATAATATCCAAAGTTACGGACCATCAAAATAATTCGACTTGGGGAGGGTTTCTGGTGGGGAAACAAGCAAATTTGTTATGGGAAACATTAAAGAATTACAAGAAATTGTAAATGATGTTTTTCCAGGCCTCAAATTGTTCTCAAATGAGTTGACAGGATGCTGAACTTGGTTTCAGCGGATCATCTGCCCCATCCATCAGTCTTTCACTTACTTTCAAAACACATATCGATCAATACGTTTCTTTTTTATTGGCTTCGTCTTTCCTGTGTCAAGAAAATGATTGTCCAAAAGGCGGCAGCAGAAAATTCGAGATATTGAGGCTTGAGGGAGGGAAAGCCATTAGGTTTAAGAGGTTCTTAATACATTGTTTCCAAGGGAATTCAGACAGGGACTATAGAAACAAATTCGACTTATAGGCTGGTATGTCATTCGACTTGGAGAGGTTCTAATTATTATATCGATGAGGTTCATAACTGTTGTATTTCAGAAAAACTGCAAAACGTGCGACAAAATACTCGACGGCCTGGAAACCATCGACGACGACACCGACAAGGTCGGGATCCACTTCGTCAAGGTGATGGACTCCAAACTGGCCCGGGAACTCGGGGTCGTTGTCTTTCCGTCGCTGGTCTACTTCGAAAACAAGTTCCCGTCCATCTTCGAGGGTGATTTGTTGGACGAGGAACAGGTGCTCGAGTGGCTCGTCTACCAAAAGCTGGAGGACACCATCGAGAACATCAACCGGGAAATGCTGAACCTTATGATTGAGACCAAGGACTATTTGGCAGTCATCTTTTGTAGGTTTATTTAATTATTTATTTATTCTTTTTCGCAGAGAGAACATATTAGTTTCGCGGGGAACCCCTTACATATAGTTGTACCTTGAGAAGTCAAATGTCGCCAAGTCCAATAGTGAACATTTTTCGGCATCACGAGGAGCTTCGAATTATTCATTGGAATTATCATCACACGCAGTTTTTTCTGCTGAAGAGGAGACAAATATTTATAATCAATTAGGATTAAGCTGCTTTTTGCCAAATCAAACCTTTCACAGCTGCTGGTGAAGTAAAATTCGACAATTTGTATAATGGTTGATTTATGACTCCAGCTTTGTTTTCAACATTTAAAATTTTGATTGATTCATACATATTGGCAATGATTTCAGACTTTGATGCTTATAACTTTTCGTAATCTGCACATTTTAAAAGAACATTCCGCGAGAAAATTTGCTCATGCTTCCCTTTATTCACGTACATATACATATTCTGTTACGCAGATTTTTCATTTCATCATAATAAGTCAATTGTTATACGGATACCGAAATATACGTCTCTCCCACGTCTTCATTTGTTTACTATACAGTACTTCCTAACTAATCTATGTTCCTCGTTTTGAAATTTAATTCGAAAAAAGACAAGGATGATGATCCCGAGTGCGAGAAGGCCCTGAAGCACATGGAGACGATTGATGACGAAGCTGGCGAGTATGGAATCGAAATGGTCAAGATGAATGACCACTTGATGGCAAAGAAGTATGGCTGCCGCTATCCACCGGGACTGGTATTTTTCCGCAAGGGAAAGCACATTAAATTTGATGGTAAGTTCCACTTCTATACATATTTTTATATCCTTTTCTTTTCCTTCAGTGCTGTGTTTTTTGTTAAATGCTAGCCATCCTCCCCAAATTCCAAGAATAAAAAATAATGTTTATGTTAGTCATGATGTAGAGTTTGCACGCCAGCACCTGTTCAAAGACTAAAATCTCTTTGCAGACCAGAAGGAGATTCTTCTCTATTATGGTCTAATCTAGAGAGATCTGACAGAATTTTGTTGCCACAAAAAATTCTTTGCATTTAGATTTATGGATTTTAATGCATTTTAGACTGCAATTTTCTGGGAATTGGTTAGTAAATACTGTTCAGTGCTTCTATATACAGTACTACAGTTTATTCAAGACCTGTCATAATTTATAAGTCTTTCTGATTAAATGAAGAGAACACTTTTCAATATGCAATAGTTTTTCTCCTTTTTCTATAAAACCTGCCTTCCTGTAAAAGTTCTTGTTTTGAAACATAAAATGAGGAACTATATACATACAGTATGTGTGGGAAATACTGTACTTCCTTCAGAATTCACTTCTTGATTCATACCTGCTGTTATTTCAAATAGGAAAAATTGTTTGTAATGCATACTGTTTATTTGAAATAAGGGCATACATTCTCAAATGGAGCTAAAAATTTCTAAGAATTTGTCATGCTGTGTATTTTAAAAACTCTAAATGTTCTCCACAGAAACTTTTGCTTCTTTGATTAAGTTATGCTGGAAGGCTGAGCCCATTCAATTTTTCCCATTTCTGCCATTTATTAAATAATCCATAGGGCCTATGTACAGAATCAGACCAAGAATGTGTTATACTGAGATGTCAGCCTAAAATGAGTTTGTTAAAACAAGATTTCTATAGCATGGCACCCTGCTGAGACCAAGAAAAAAAATTGGTACAACGAGATTTGTTGTAATGGATTTTACTGCATATGATTTGTTTTTACAGGCGATGTGTGCGATGAAGAGGAGGTGCTTGAGTGGCTCACAGACCCGGACACCATGGATTTGCCAGAACAGATTGAGAGAGTGACGCGCAAAATGCTGGAAAAGATGCAGACCAAGTCAGAGTACCTGGCCGTCTTGTTCTGTAAGATTACAAATATCATCTCACTGACACAAGGGAATTTAACAAGGGAATTTAAGTAACCCTAAAAGGACACATTTTAAAAATTGTCTACCTATATTCTTTAGACAACGAGGTCAACTGCAAGCAGTGCGAGCGAGTGCTGGTCCAGTTGGAGAACATTGACGACGAGTCCAAGGCAGCCGGCGTGGACCTTGTGAAGTCCGAAGACGCTGCCCTGGGGCGCCAGTTGGGCATCTACTCCCTGCCGGGACTAGTGTTCCTGCGGTCAGGGGCGTCGGATCCCGTCATCTACGCCGGCGACCTCAAGAACGAAGAGAAGATCCTCGAGTGGCTCTTGTCGCAAAGGGATCCGGCCGGCGAGAGGATCGAGGAGATGCAGGGAGACGAGCTCAAGGATTTCATTGATCAAAACGAATTTGTCACTGTATTCTTCTGTAAGTCAGGATAAATACTGCATGTGGGCACCGATAAGACCTTGCATGGGTACCAGAATAACTTCGGAGTATAAAGTACTTTGAATATCTCTCTATCGGTCCGGGACGTTAAGGATTTACATAAATGATGTTTTTTATGATCACCGATGCACGGGAAAATTAAAAACAAGCCTAAATTGACAAAGGTATATAGATCAAGTCGGCGAGTGTCGCGATTTCTCTTTTAGCGTAAGAAATATTGAACTGGAAGAAGAACGCTGTTCATAGCATGACACAACTTCTCTAACGAGGTAAGTCAGTACACTATTGACGACGAATTCACGGATGAATATCGAAACACAGCAATTGAGAAATGAAGAACTGAGCGATCAACTACGCGTAAGAATGAGCAAGCATTGCAATGGCGACATCTATTGACCAAAATTATTTACGAATCAGGATATGACAGCAGGAAAAAATTTAAGCGGAAGAAACACGTGGTAACCTAAACGCATTTTTAAAGACTTGATTTTTTCTCCTCTTTGTACAGTATTCGTTTCTAATAATGCGGAGGATCCATAAGAATACTTCGGATAGATGTCGCCGTTGCATTGCGTGTCCTTCCCCTACGCACGGTTCGCAACTCATCAGTTCCCCCCAGAGTGCTCCTTCTGTCCTGCAATCTTCGCCATTACATTAGTATAGGACATAGCTATGCTCGCTTCATTCTCGAGTCATTTCACTGTTCCTTTAATTATCGAATAACACTTTAACCGAAGAAATATCCCAAAGCATTTTTCTGTGCTTGTTATAGTCTCTAAGGACGACTGCCTAGACTGTGACCAGATCCTCAACGAACTAGAAAACATCGATGACGACACGGACCGCCACGGGATCGCATTCCTCAAGACGCCCGATATCAGCGTGGCAGAGGAGTTCGGCGTCGAGGACTTTCCGGCTCTCATCTACTTCGAAAAGGGTGTCCCTTCCATCTATGAAGGTGACCTCAGTGCTGAGGAGGACGTCCTGCAATGGCTCATTCTGCAGAAGACGGAGGACCGGATTGAATTGGTCAATCGCGACATGCTCGAAGTACTCATCGGAGAGACACAATATCTGGCCGTCTTCTTTTGTGAGTGGTTTTTGTTCGGCTTTTTCAAGTTTTGTGAGTATGGTAAAGGGCGCGAGAAGTTTTTGAATTCCACGCGTGTCCCTGATGTATACTCCCTGATGCTTACGACGAGGGATTAGGGATTACATTTGGGTAGTAAGTCATTTGAGTGATCTCGTCCGAGCTGTCGACCCCGTGTACGATGAATTTATGCAATGTCTTGAAAAGGTTCCTCAAAGTTTGTTTTCTTTCATCACCGAATCCTGTGCGCCATAGCTTCAATATGTGAAAGGAAGTTAGTACTGTATATGACCGTGATTTGGAAGCCAGAGTTCAGCTGGCAGACTGCATCAAGAGCTTCGGGCTAGTCGTGATTTTTCCATTTTCAAACCCTAGTCTTCAATAAGACCAATAAGAGAGCTTCTTGCGGCAGAAAGATGAAGAGATTAAAGACGAATCTTGGTCTGTTTAAAGTTTACTTCAACTAATGCTGGCCGAAAAAGGTGAATCCACGGCGATGAACTCGATCATAACGTGGCCCATATATATCGAAGTGGTGGTTGCCATATCTCTCTGCAAGTGTGTTCTATGACTTGTGTGACTGATCTTGAAGACCCAGTCCTTCGAGTTATCCCTCTCGTGGTTTATTCCGACGACGTCGTATGATTCCTTTCCCACTTTTGTTCTTTAGACAAGTCCAACTGCAAGGCCTGCGACGCCGTGCTCACTGAGCTGGAGAAGATAGACGACGACTGCGACCTCTTTGGGATCTCCATGGTCAAAATCAATGACCCGCAACTGGCAAAACGTTACGGAATCAAGACTTTCCCAGCCTTGGTCTACTTCCGCAATGGAAACCCTCTCATCTTTGACGGTAACGGAAGCAAACCACCAACCTCCATTTAATCTAATTTTTCCAATAAGGTGTCTGTGAATTTTGTTTAAATCAAATATCCAACGAAAGTTTTATAAATCGACGTTCGTATATCCGTTGGATGTGTCAAAAGTCGTGTGGCCTTGAGCGATTGCGCAAGGAAAATAGTTTCAGCGTGAGCTCGTTTCCGACTTTCAAGTGACATCTATGTAAGATCCCAGAACTAAATTTGCATATCTCATGCCTCCCTGTACTGTACATCGCAGGATACATTTCCATAGGGTGAAAAATGAAAATGAGTTATTGTGATCGTGGCTTGAGATTCCTCAAGACCCCAGTTCATCACCTCAGCTGATGCGTAAATTTTCGCTGGCTTTGACGTGAAAGATACAATTATCTATACTGTATTTTCGTTTGGATAAAGCAATGTTTCACAAAAAAGAAGACAAATCTTTGTACAGTATTTGTACAAATTTAAATCTCGGCGTGCCCAAATACACCCAAGGATCGTGAGGGGTCCGGAGGGTTCCAAAAATATGGTTCTTCATCCCGAAGAGAGCTAGTGCAGATAATTTAATTTCACGGCGGGTCACGCGATGTTGAAGCATCCCACGTATACGAATAATTAAAGCCTCGAAAGGACCCCTCTCCTTTTAAAATGAGCACGAAAAAAAATATAATGAAGCTTTAGCACAAAGTGCCGTCCCTTCATGATTCCTTCGCTTCCGCTGAAACACATACACTCATAGATAACACATGCTCAGACATGCGCACAGGATGCAGATGCACACAAACTCACTCTTTCTATCTCTGTTTCTCTCTCGTCTCTCCTTTTCTCTCATCTCTCAGGTTTCTGGGGAGACATCACCGTCCAGTAGGACAACATACTCATATTTTCTCAATTCCCTATATATGTTAATGATTTGTTGTTCCTTTTTCAAAGTTGTTGTTGATGTTTTGAGAAAACAAGATCTAAAGTTGAATGCAGAAGAGAGAAAGAGATAGAGAGAATGTTTTGAAAAAATAAAACGAAAACGGATAACGGGGTGATACACTCGCTGCTATTCAGACCCAGAAAAACCTGCGCATTTCATCACGTTGACATACATAAAATTATTTTTCTTCAGGCGAGGTGAACCGAAGATAAAGGAAGAAAATATTCTGGGCATTGGACGAGTGATTTAACTGAACTTTTTTGAAGTATAACAAAAAACTTTAAACCGTTGGCCGTCACATACCCACAAAACCGCGTAGAAGTCGTACATTTTTGAAAATAAATTTGTAAACTTTTGCTTGGTAACGTATAATAGTTCAAGAAATGAAGAATAAAACCTTGACATAACTGTGGTTTTGTACTGACAGCAACATTTTTCGTTTGAAGGAAGTAATTTACAGCTTAAAAACTTTTTCACAACAGATTTTGCAAATTAGATGCAAATTATTATTTTTTCGAAGGCAACAATTTTCTTTCGAGACAGGAAATTTTACCAAAGTTTGATGTCAAGACCCCGTTTTTTTTTACAGTTATTTTCCTTTTCAAAAATAATTTAATATTCTTTGAGATAACGTATTTGCTGAAGGGCCATGCGCCTTCAAGTGAGAAATGTACCAATTTTTTTACCCTAAAATTTTGATCAAATCCCATCTCCAAGCTTCCCCTCAATTGGTTAATGCCAGGATTTTTTTCAACTTGAACATTTTGGTCCACCTTGCCTTGCGTAGAGCATTTTAGAATTCTTTTCTGGATATGTTGTTGGAATGCACACGCCTTTGTGAGTCTTTTATAGAAGCAAGTGAAATCACCTTGTAGAACAACTGGGGCAAAGAAAACGCACGTTTTATTAGCAGCCCCTGTTGTATAACCGCAGTTATAGTCTGAGCATCAAGGCATCAATTTAGTCCGAGAATTAGCTGCAAGTCACGTGTCATTAGGCGCTGCTGTGGTCCTTTTAGCTTTCATAGGATGAGGGGATTGGGCCGGGTTATTGGGAGATCTTTCATGATGCAGCCGTGTCCTCTAGTCGAGACGTACGCTTTTACTGTCTCGACGTCTACGCAGTAGATGTCACCACCAGTGTTTCCCGTCTTCAGCGGATCGCCTCTTCCTGGAAGTTGCACAGGGGAAACAACACGGGCTCCTGCCGTCCTCTTCAGAGGATGCAGCGGAGACGAGTGGGAAATCGTGCCACGGCAAGGGCGTCACCTACAAAGTCGGAGATATCCATTACCGCCACTACTTGTCTCCGTGTTGTGAAGAAGCGCACCACGGAGATGATGACGACGAAGAGGGAGACGATGACGAAGACGAGGATGATGACGAGGAGTGTGAAGACAACCGTGATCTGGCGGACCATGTGATTGCAAACTCCATCTTCGCTCGGCTCTTGCGGCACACCGACACTGAGCTTGACCGCGACGACAATAGTAACCACGATGATGATGATGACGATGATGATGAAGATGAAGATGATGCTGCGGTAGGAATGCAACGGGATCGTGTTACTCACCGCAAGCCGTTTATCAATCAAGAGAAGAAGGAGACAATAATCAAGAAAAGCGAACCAGCAGCAGGAGGAAAAGGGCAAACAGCGAACACGGATGCTAATGACCAAGGCGACGATCTTGGACCCGTTGCAGCCGGAATCCTAAACTGGTTGTTGGACAGACAAAATCGCCTGCTCGACGGCCAGATAGAGTGCGTCAGTAGTCTGATGCTTGACTACCTAGTGGACAAGACCCGCCTGTTGGCCGTTCTCTTTCTTCCAGATGGTATGTGGCCCCGAAATCATCGACCAACCAACTATCAAACGATCAACCAAGCCCAAAAATAAATAGATATATAGAGATAGAAATAGTCCTCCAGGTTATTGGTCTCTGAATGCACAAGAAACTACCGTATTCGCTGGAGTATATATGGCATGCTGTCATATTAAATGATAAGATTCCATTTCTGCCTCTATCTTTTGTGTTGCAAGAATGATTACTTGCTTTTTCCTGCAATTTCATATATATATTGCTGTATGATTTGTATACCTGTGTGATTAGAAGAGTCTATTGATGAAATTGTACAGGTTGACGCTCTCCAATGATTTTCTGTAGACATTACAGTCAAAAATCTTTGAGCCAAACTTCGAAGGATTAGCAGAACTAATTTCGAATCAGGGATGAGGTTTCAACTTTCAAGGTAGAGAAACAAGTATTTTTGTTGGGGGGGGGGGGGGGGGGGGGGGG